GCCTTCTTGTTGTATGCTCCTATCGACATTCCAAACCACTCCATCGACCTGCGAGCCCTCATTTCCCACAAGCCACCTGCAGCTCTCTCTCGCTGGTGCGTGAGCAGTTCTTGTTGATTCCTTGAGGATCACCATCCTCAACAAAATGGCGGGCTTCAACTTGTTTGGTCGTCGGCGACATGACCGTGAGACACCTCTTCCCACCCACCGCCGCCGAAGCAGTGACGAGACCAAGATCAACGAGCGCTGGCACCGCGGTGAGCCGTATTCCATGGCTCACCGACCTCCATTTATGCTGTGGCTCAAAGTGACGTGGCTCGATATCTTGACGATGATAGCTATGGGCGCCATCGCTTTAGGTGTGAGTACCGCACGCGACCCCAACATCTCCAATGACGGCTGACATGTGAAATGCAGGTATTCCGAGCCCACCCTCCGGCTCACCGACTATTCCCTGTTACCTTCGAGGACGGCGAAGTCGTGTACCCTCAGTTCGCCTACCCTGCCATTCCGCAATATATCCCCAGCCACGCTGCGACTGCCCTTGGCGTCGGTGTTCCGATACTGGTCATACTCCTCTGCCAGATTCGCATCCGCTCGTTCTGGGACATCAACAACGGTATCATCGGTGTGCTCTATGCTCAACTGGGATCGGCCGTGTTCCAGGTCATGATTAAATGGTTGATTGGTGGTCTCCGCCCAAATTTCCTCGAGGTTTGCAAACCCGACATCAGCAAAGCCTCCTTACCAGGTGGCAATGCGACTGGTCTCGACGGCACAGGCTATGGTGGTATCATGTATACTTACGACATTTGCACCACCAAGATGGGAGGTTCCCTTTCCAACGCATTGGAGTCATTTCCATCGGGGCACACAACATCCATGTTTGCCGGCATGGTCTATCTGTACCTCTACCTCAACGCCAAGCTCAAGGTGTGGTCCAACTACCACCCATCCATGTGGAAGCTGATCCTTACCTACGCCCCCATCCTCGGCGCCACACTCGTGGGAGGCTCCTTGACCATCGACCAGTCCCACAACTGGTACGACATCTTGGCCGGCGGCTTGATCGGTACGATGTTCGGTTTCTCGTCATACCGAATGGTGTATGCCTCGATCTGGGACTGGCGTTTCAACCATATTCCTCTCCACCGTAAGATGCCCCTCGAATACGATCTCGACTCTTTCGGCGACGGTCTGGTCGCCACCCGTAAGGCAGGCTGGGGCAAAGGACGGGGAGGAAAGCCCTACGGTACCGACAAGACGGTTAAGACCCGGTACAGCACTAGCAGGGACGGTCGTGGAGTTGGTGTCCCCCGTAAGGCGGTGACATCGCATCATGATAGGACAAATCGTCGTCCTTCAACCGGTGAGATGGTATAATGGGTCCGAAGTTTGGAGTTTGGTCGACACAGCTGCGATACCCGTACGAAGTGACAGCATGTTTTCATTGGATACGCTATGTTACGAACGAAAACGAAAGAGCTCGGGACTCGTCTCAATCTTACTTATTACTTGCTCAATTAATGTTATTCGAAAAATGTTTTATTCAAAGCGTTGACCGCCGGCAGTCTCGAGTCCTGATCGTCAAACTCTGATGAGTTTCTCTTGGCTCGAGACCTAAGCTTCAGGTACAGGACATTGGCTGTCGGCGCACGCTCATAGAATCTGCTGTTATCATATGCGTGGGATGCTATGGAAAACGGTGCCTTCGGCTTCCGAAGCGAAGAGTCGCTTCATCGTCGACTTTCAGTCTGATGCCCGATGGGTCTCTGTGCTCCACATCCAGCACTGCCTTGTGTGTGAAAAGTCCATTATGAAAGTTTAAAAATAACTATAGCTTTATCTCAAACATGCTGCCCGCATGGCTTTCGCCCAGGAAACGTCGAAACAACCGACCCAGCACGTCAAGTTGCCGTTCTAGTCTGAAGTCTATGGCAGCTGTCACGAAAGGCCAAGCGACGTTCGTATGAAGAGATTTGACAGCATCTTTGGCGCCAAACCTTGGGGTCTGAATCATTGTCAAGACATGTGCGCTCTTGGTGCGAGGAGCGTCTCGTAGTAATTGAACGCCTTCGCGAGTCAATCCTGAGGCGGCTGCATGAAGACTGACGATTCTTGGCGTGCACAGCAATTCTTGGCACTGAACTCTGTGAAGATCAGTCAGCGTTGCTGTGCGCCCCCCCTGAGATGATGAGCATCGGTCAACTGATGGTTTGAGAGTCAGACTTTTGACTGCCCGAAAACTCTAATAGGGGCCAAACAAACAGGACTGAAAATCTCCTTGCTCATAGTTCACGGGATTTAACCGCAACTTTCTAGAGATAACATCCACCTTGTCGTCTACCCAGACTTATTTCTTGTTCATTTTTAGCTTAAAATAAGGTGTCTTTTAGTCGGACGGAGACAAGACGAAGGCCGCCTGTAGAAGCCGCCAGTCCGGAGCCCCGGATCCATCAAGACCCATCAACTCCACGCCCGCCCGCCTCGTCTGTAGCGAAAAGAACGGCGAGAGCGCCGCACGGTCAGCCCCCAACCCCGTGCGACCCGAGAACTCCGGGATCCGAGGACCAACAACAACCCTGTCCCGAATTCCCGGGTAGATGAACGGGCTGCTCCAAGCTTTTTTCTTTTCCCCCTTCCAGAAAACCCGCCAGTACGGTGACAGAGATTGGGGGACTGCCAAGAACGTACGACTCGAAAGTCTGTCGTGCCCAGGCCATTAGCTGGTTTGACTTATGATGTGCAGAAGCCGCACGGCATCCCTTATATGAAAATCATCTTATGCCCCTCCGGCAGGCGGGATGAACTGCGTGGAGCTTTTGGTCCATGTCGTCGGATGGCGCTCCCGCTCGAGCTGTCATCCTGGGTAGGACCAACATATACCAGACTGCCCCATATGGGCGACTGGAGGTGCTTTTCCGGGGCAGTTCCACCGTCGAACGCGGGTTAGCCCAGCGTGACACTCGCAATTGGGTTTAGAGTAGTTGCTGCTATGCCCACGAAGAAGTCTTGGTTCCCCTTGGGCCAATGAATCTGACGCTGGAACACATGTCGGCGGTGGATATCCCACAGATTGTAGCGAGGGCAATTTCGCAGGCCGTTGATCCATCATATACACCAGATAGTGGAGAGGCTGGGCAGTCATCGATATACTAACCCGCGTTCGGTGGGATGCCGCTGGGGGTTTCGTAGATGGGAAGTCCACCTCTTGCAGGGGACTCTCAGATGCGATGAACGGATAGCACTACTCTAATCTCAGTAGACTACAAGAAATCATGGTTATATATAAGCCTGCTTCATCACCCTCCATCTGGCCATGTTTCTTTTCGGCAGGCCTCATCGCCAAACAGTTTCTTTCATTCAACCTTCAACACCCTTTTCCCTTTCTCTTTTTCGAAGTCTTCTACTTCTTTCACCAACCTTAGGTTGCCAGTTTCAATAACCACAACTTTACCGTCATTCAACAATTTTCACAATGGCGTCCAGGCTGGTCCTTTTCACCCTTGCCGCACTGGGTGCTGCGAACCCCATCAACCCTGGTGGTCGTGACGCCGAGCGGCCGGCCCGCAGACACATCGGCGGCGTCGGACACCTCGCCCGCGCCGTGATGGCGCCCCAGCAGCCCAAGGTCGAGGTCCGCTTCGCCGGTCCAGGCGGTGACGGTCCGGGCAACAACGGCTCTTGCGAGGACGACGGCAGCAACGTCGGCTCCAAAGCCGACCCCTCCAAGGACAAGTCCAAGGATAAGTCCAAGGACAAGAGCAAGGATAAGAGCAAAGACAAGAGCAAGGACAAGAACAAGGATAAGAACAAGGACAAAGGCAGCGGATCTGGCTCTGGCTCTGGCTCTGGCTCCGGCTCCGGCTCCGGCTCTGGATCTGGATCTGGATCTGGGGGCAGCAAGTCCGGTGGAGGCAAGTCAGGCGGCAGCACTGGTGGTGGCGGTTCTAGCTCCGGCGGCGGCGGAGCCTACCTTGGAGGAGGCGGATCTTCTGCGAACAACGGCACGACTCCAGGGGGTGGTGGAGGCAGCAGCGGGGGTGGCGGCGGCCTGCAAAAGACGTTTCCCACACCCGCCGGCACCGAGAACCTCTCTGCAGTCAAGACAATCACCGGCGTCTTTGACGGAGGCATGAAACTGTTCGATCGTGTCCCGAGCACCTGCACCGGCGGCGAGGGAAACCGCAACGACGCCGCCTTCATCCTCGAAGACGGTGCGACGCTCAGTAATGCAATCATCGGAGGCGGTGCCGGCGAAGGTGTTCAGTGCGTTGGCAGCTGCACGCTCGAGAATGTGTAAGTAACCCATAATATCCTCATCACCCTGACCTTGCGGACTGACGCGATCCCGCAGCTGGTGGGACAAGGTCTGCGAAGACGCAGCCACCTTCCGACAGACGGGCGGGAAGTCGACGGTCCGCGGCGGCGGCGCGCGCGGCGGCTCGGACAAGGTCTTCCAACACAACGGCGGCGGCGAGGTCGAGGTCATCGACTTCTACGCCCAGAACATCGGCCAGCTGTACCGCTCCTGCGGCAACTGCAAGGAGCAGACGGCGCGCACGTCCACCTTCACCAACATCTACGTCGACGGGGCCAAGACCATTGTGCACGTCAACGGAAACCTGGGCGACAAGGCGACTGTCAACGGCGCCTGCATTCTGGGCGGTGCGACTGTGTGCAAGAACTCCAAGGGCGTGACCGGCGGCGGCGAGCCTGGGGATGCGCCTAACGACCCCAACGTCTGCTCCGAGACCAATGTCAAGACTTCTGGCTGTTAATCAGCTCGCTTCATGAGGTAGCAGAACGTATCTGCTAGGTTCGGTTATGTATTGGGTACATGGTATATAGGGAGGGCACTGGCTCGCTGGATGCAGACTGGGTTTCTTGGGTCAGGGTTCTTCTAGCTGTACATACTTGGGCGACTGCTCTGTATATTGTCCAATCAAGCACATATGTTTCTTCAAATCTATTGAAATGTTGAGTTGCGAAATGTAGTCTCAAGGAATGGTGTCCTCGAGCAGTGAAAGTAAACCTCCGACAAGGTAAAAGCTCCCAGTAACCAAGACGTTAATCTCTGAACCCCCGCCGCCAATGTTCAGTACGAAGTCGGTAGAATCCTCAATGGTGGGAACCACAAGCACCCTAGCGACAGGATCGAGGCGTCTCCAAGTTTCTGCCATCTCCTTCTGCGCCTGGAGAGATTTGAGCTCTGCGGGGTTGACGTTGAAGTTGGTGAGATCTTCATCATCAGTGTCGGCGGCAAAGACCAAAGAATTATTGAACGGGGGTTACGTACCAGATTTGGACTGTCGGGTTTTGAAGGTGACGTTGGTGCAGAACACAACATATCGAAACCTAGTCTTGTTGGTTTGATACAGGCTCTCGTGCACCACTTTCAGCAGAGCATGGGCGTCTCTCGTGGACTGTTGGTTGAAGACTAGTGCACACGGAAGGTTCCTACAGCAAATGATTAAAATTGGCGGGAGATGAAAGAGGAACAGGGCAACTCACGAGTACCGGGTGGCCGTGTTAAACCACCGACAAGCGACTTCGAGGCTTTGCTCATTATGAGCCCCATCTAGATGCCAGCGAATATTTCCCGTAATCTTTCTTTCGCATCTGCCCCTCCAGACCATGGTCTCCAATCCACGTTTAACCTGGCTTGGAAGATAATCACCGCCCCATGAAATAGGTGCCCCCCATCTCTCAAGAATGGCCCCTGCTAGGTGAATAGCAAGGGAGGCGTTCCCCTTTTGGAAAGATTCGTCTGGGTAAATGCTGATCTCTCCAAGAGCCGGTATCAGGTTTATCTTCATCAGGTTTGCCCCTTTCTCGATTGCTCTGTCACTCAAAACCTTCATCGCTGCAGCGTCTTGACCTACGGTGAAAGCAGGGCACCCCCTTTTCATTATCCCCGCCTTATGCCATGCGATTTGCTCAATCGTGTTACCGAGAGTCTGTACATGATCTATTCCCAGCGTCGTGATGGCAACTGCCACCGGCTGATCGATGATATTTGTCGAGTCAAGCTCACCGCCAACCCCGACCTCGTAGATGGCTGCGTCGACATTCTCTTGCATGAAGACGTGGAATGACATTAGGGTCAAGAATCGGAAGTAAGTTGGCTTTTCTTCATGACCCAGTTCCTGTTTTGCAGATAGGGCATCCCATACTTCGAAAAAGTATTGAGTGAAGAGCTCCTCTGAGATAGGCTCTGAGTTGATTCTTATTCGCTCTCGTACTGATAAGAGATGGGGGGATGTGTACAGACCAATCTTTCGTGGTGCGCTTGACTCGTTGTGGAAGCTTTGAAGTATGGAATTCGTGTATGCGCACGTAGTCCCTTTGCCTTTTGTGCCGGCCACGTGGACGATGTTCATGCGGTTCAGATCGCGAGGCTCAATAGTCAGTCAGGATTCATCGACGGGGCTCTGGGATGATCACAGTATAGCCAAGGCATCCAAGCCAGTACTTCATCTGCTTCAACGCGCCTCCATCCAGCTTCTGACCGTGATGCCGCCTTTCTTCCATGGCCTTGTGACCCGACTGCGTCGAGTTCAACAGATTGATGGCATCCTTCAAACAGTCAGTCTTTCTACGCCTACTAGTGTTGGGCTGGGAATTCTGGGGTAAATACCTCGTAGCTGTGCCTTGTATCTTCCCTCACTGCCGGCATTTCCGAAGTTTAGAATGATGCAATAGTAGATTTTGATGATAAGCAAGGTACCGGCAACGGGATAGTATTTATGTCAATCGTTTTTGGCGTCTGATAGCGTTTGCTCTCATTTATGACCCAAAGATCCGGTTCGCTCAAGAGGCCATTCACTCTATCGAAATGCGATTGAAGTTGTCGTTAGTGATGAGGTAAGTGCCTCGTGTCGTCCGATGTACGCAACCTTGCGAACAGGAAACTTGTGCTTGTAGCACGGCAAGATAAGCCGTGCCCCTGGCACGTTCTCATATCTACACAACGAATCTCGGAGTTTCGGGCGTGAATCCGCTTACAAACCGGTTTGATACGGTATTCTCGGTCCCAGCTCAGATTGTGCATCTCAATTTGGAGGTTATCACCGACCTACCCCCAATATGCCGCGACTCGGTGCCACACTCACTCTTACGCATCCCCGTCCTCCAGCCGACGTTCCCCAGCCACCATTCCGGCCCCCGAGACGCCGCGGAAGACCCGTTTCGTTAACCCGGGACAGTGCATAGTCGCAACACCGCAACCGCGCCTTCATCTGATCCACATCTCCGGTTTCACTCACCACTGGACGCCGGATGTTCCCCAAGCCCCCATCCGAGCTCTTGCACAATCATCAACGTGAACTTAAAGGATGGATGCAGCTGCAAGATGAACATTCCCGGGTGTCTGCGGTTCTCAGCTCTGCAGCCCTCAAGTCAAAAACCTACTGCCCACGACACCACAAACTCGACGCCAACCACCAATCTCACGTGCCAACCTCCCCCCATCTCAAAATGACCGACCTCAAAAACCTCCCCGAGATATACTGCCGCGCCTGGGCCTCGCGCGACCCGGCCCCGCTCCTCGCCCTCTTCGCGCCCGACTCCGTGATGACCGACCACGGCGCCCAGATCCAGGTGCCCTTCGCCTTCCTCGAGCGGCACCACAAGCACTGGAACGGCGCGCACGACGACTTCGCGGTGTGGCTCGACCCGCAGTACCCCGTCTACTGGGCGCAGCTCGACGACCAGGGCAACGGGTACTGCAGCTTCCGGACGGTCAACAAGGGCGTCTTCGTCAACGACCTCGGGCGGCGCAAGGCGACGGGGCTGCCGTTTCAGTACTCGGGCGTGATCGATCTGAAACTGCGAGAGGGCAAGATCGTGCAGGCGGACGAGTGGTTAAGGGTGCCGTTTGAGGATAGCGTGGCGCCGGAGAAGTATATTACGATTTCGGAGGAGAGTCTGAAGGGGGTTATGAGGAAGGACCTGCATCAGGAATGAGGGCAGTTATGTTGGTGTAATGAGAGTTGACCTCACTTGTACATGAAGAATCATTTGCAGCGCAGAGACCGATGTGTTGTGTTCAATTTGATGATGACTTTCAACCTACCCTTCTTATTATATACAGTGCCCTTTGCTGGCTGAGCGTCGCCTTTCCACAATGACACTTGCACATGCAACTCATACAAATACATGATAACATTCATCTCATACCATCATAACCCATTCTCATCCATCCACTCATTTTCTCTTCCCCTGGTTTCCTCCCCTACGACATCGTCAGTGTCAACTCACCTCATCTCAACGGATCCAGCACTCACAGTATCGATAACGTCAAATCGCCCTGGATCTTAGCCTTCAGCTCAATATCGACATCAAGATCCATATCAAGCCGCACCGAAGGCGCCCCCTTGCCTTTACTCTGCACTTGCTGCCCGTTCTGCGGCGCAACTTGCTGCGCGGTGGACCCGTCTTCTCCCTGCTGGTACTCGTACACCTGACGCTGCCGCCCCTCCCGACGACGAACTCCCTGCTGTTGTTGCTGCGCCGCAGCCTGGTTCCTCGAGTCTTGGGAGCTGGTTTCCGTCTCAGAGGCAGAGCTTTCGGTGGGTGGTCGGGCGGGGTTCTTCGAGGGTCCGGGCTCCTGCGCCGTCATTGCGGGGTTCGCAGCCGGCGGCGCCGTTGGCTGCGTTGCGCGCTCTTCCGTGTGCGACTCCATTAGGTATATGTTTAAGTTTTGCTAAACCGTATGCGCGGTAGATCGTGCGACGTTGAGCAATGGAGTATCTCTTATTTGGCGCGACACAATAATTGTTAGGTTGTCGACGTAGTGATGGTATCGATAAGGACAGAACTGCTTCAGATCCAATGCTGCAGGGACTTGTGCGTTTTCCCACGCGCGCCACCAACCCGAAATAAAACGCCTCGATTCAAAGTTCTAGAACGTGCCCGGATGACGTAGCGATGCGAAGCATGCTGATGTTCTACCCGCTGCGTGGAGAACCGTGTCTTGCTCCCTTCCGGGATCGAGTGAGGATCATGTCGGGATGACATCATCCGCCGCCCCCCTCTGATCCCGCAGCGGGGTGGTTTGGCCCACGAAACAATGTCCACAACTCGCGACCGAGAACGTTCGAAAAAGAATCAACGGGAATGACTAAGATCGTTTGAAAGATGATGCGGAGTCCGAAGGGTACGATTTGGGATGAACTTGGGTGCGGATGAATTATTTTGCAGGTTGGGAATGTGAGGACCATACTAAAGTCTCCCATTATCTGTCGTTGTCTCTGAAGCTGCTGAATGAGGCTAATATGATCCAAGATGATCCTGCGATTCCTCTAGATATCTACAGAAAATCATACAAGCTCACATACTGTCCATTACTCAGAGCAGGTTCTCTAGCTACGCCTCATTCGAACACACACTGGCGTCATTCGGCAGTCGGGCCTCGCGCCTGGTCTAGATGAGCTCCTCCTCAATGGCAGCAAACAAAAACGCCCCAGACCCTCTCGCATCGTTCTCAACAAGGGGGATACTCGTGTAATACTGCACGCACACTCATTAGCAACATTCCCAACAGCGAGGTCAGGCCAAGAAAACAAAAGAGAAAGACCCACCTCGAAGCTCGCATTCGAGTTCAAACTCCCGACCTGCACCGTCCCCAAGAAACTAATCGTCCCATTCCCATCCTCCCTTACGAACTCATCCACCAACAGCTCATACGCCTTCAGCCCTACCGCCTTATACTTCTCCTCCAGCAACCCGTCCCTCACGCCGCGCAACAGCCCATACGCAAACATGGCCGTCGCGCTTGCCTCAATGTAGTTCCCCTTACGTGTCTCGTATCCCTCGTTCATGATCAACCACCACCCGCCCCCGGCGTCCTGGCTGCGCTCCAGCCCGTCCGCCAGCGTCACAAAATACCCCAGCAGCCGCGCATACCCGGGCAGGTCCGAAGGGTACACCTGCAGCGTGTCGATGAGCGCCATGAAGTACCATCCCACCGCGCGGTTCCACACCAGCGGGCTCGCGCCGGTGACGGGATCCGCCCACACGGCATCCTTCGCCTCGTCGTACCCGTGCACGAGGAGGTTGCTCGTGTGGTTCCGGCAGTGCTCCTCGATCAGATCGAACTGCAGCGCAATCTCCTCCCAGGCAGTGACGTTCTCCCTCTCAAACAGGCTGACGTACGTCGCGTAGAAGGTGTCCGCCATGTATATCCCGTCCAGCCACATCTGGTCCTCGTAGATGGGCGCGCGGTGCCAGAACCCGCCGCTCGGCGTGCGCGGCCAGCGGTTCAGCTGCTGCCGCAGCCCGTCCGCCGCGGTCTTGAGCTTCGCGTCGCCGGAGCGCTGGTAGAAGTACAGCAGGTTGTTGCCGATGCGGATGTCGTCGAGGGAGTACCACTCCGGGTCCCAGCCGTCGAGCGTGCCGTCCGCGCTGACGAGCGACGAGACCTTGGCCTCGGCGGATTTGAGAAGGGGCGAGGTCGGGGAGATGTGGGCGCCCGCGCGGGCGATGCCTTCCCAGAGGACGGCGGGGCCGTAGCCTGCGTCGATGGGGGTTTGGCGGTCGATGAAGGAGGAGGCGAGCCACTCCGAGTAGGCCCGGGCTGCGTTGGTGAGAGCGAGGCTGCTCGTGAGAGCGAGGATGGGGAAGGAGGTACGCATTGTGTGAGAGGTGAGAACCAACTCCGGGAATGGGTTAACGGGAGAGAGTAGACAAGCCGCCGCTGAGAATCAGGCCAAAGAAGGCAGAGAAGGAGAATGGACTTCCCATATTAATACCGTGGCAATGCCCTCGTTATCTTGCCCCCGGTGAGCCGCCATTCGGCCGGGTCCATGGGCTGGAATTGCATAGCCTACTCCAAAGTCGTGCTGTTATTGTGTGTAACTACATGTCGATAATGGAGGCGTAATCGATCCACTCCCAATTCGCCATCTCAATGGAGGAAATTCTTTCTCTTGCAGAATTGCATGCGCTGGATGCTAGCAATCGCGGGGGATCGAGCGCGTGCCAAGACGGTGAAATAGGGTCTGGGTAGCATTGGTCCTGTTTGGGGTAAAGATGGTCGACGTTCGTGCCGAAATTGTCCCTCTCACTCGAAAAGGGTCGGCAGTGGAAAAATGTCTTCGTGCCATGAGAGAATTCTATCTCATCCATTGAGGTAACGAAGTAGACGTGAAGGACAGGCGAAACGCCTTCGATCAACTTGGATCCTCACGCTCTCGCCATGTGCCAACCCCTTGTTCGCCAAGCCAGTCGCCGCGTGGCCGGAAGAGATACACCGGTAGCACCGGCTCGCTGGATGGATGCAGCCCAAGCGGCGCGTCTTCCAAGAGAATCGTCGACTGCCCTCATGCTGGAAGATTTCTGTAAGGGAGACATGTCGAAAACACTAGGACAAGCGAGCACTAGAGTAATGTTCGGTAAACTGTCATCCACATCCCATCAATTAAATAAGATATATACTATGGAAGTCCATTGAGATATGCAGTCTCTACTAGGGGACTTGCTTTCTTCGTGATGCGAACGGCTTCCGCCATGCAAAAGGGGTATCATATGCCGCACCATTCCACTTAAACAACGTTTCCGCGCACCTGCTTCACCTTCTTAACGTTGATGTCTCTCCACATGGCAACGGAGCCAAGTGCACCAACCAACAGGCACACACTGGTGATGAGCATGATGCGCTGGGAGTCGCCGTAAGCA